TTTCCCTGTGCTGGTGACCAGAAGTCATTTCCAGTGCGTGACTTTAGGCATAACCTAGAGGCTACGAAAGAGTCAGTGGTGAGGAGGATTAACTGGTGCTGCCCTGGTTAGATGGTTATTACTGCTCAAGGAAACAGTTGGATTTTTCTCTCCGTGTTCTGAGTTTTGTGGTCTGCTCCTCCGGCATAAGTAAACCCAGTGCTTGTACTTCTGCAGATTCCTGGCAGGGGAAGTATAGTTCTTCATATTTAATAAAAGAAAGAGTCATATTCCCTTCCCAAGGCCAGCTTGCCTAAACCTGTTATGAACAAGTCATTCTTTTGAAAACATACAAGGGAAAAAATGACAGCGAATGTGCTTGAATCAAAAATATAGTGAGACAAAAAATGAATGTTTTAATCTGGTTTTTATGCTGAGAGCCAATTTATAACACAATTGATGTCTCTGAACACTTTGATAAAGAGCCTATGTTTGATTCCTAAAACATGCTACAGAATTTTAGTAATCCATCATACAGGCACCTACTCCATAAATTGGTGTAGAATGTACAAGTGCACTATTTACATTTGAGATGTAGTCACAGACTTGGCATAGTTTTAATAATAAATACAAAGTGACAGAGCTAAAAAGAATATTCAAACAGTATGAAACTGGGGAAAAAAGATATATATATATTAGTGTTCTTAGATGTTACTTTTGCCTTACATCGAGATAACCTGTTTCCCTTTTCTCTTACAAGTGTAAGCTAATGAAAACCAGAGCTGCTTGCTGTTTAAACTGGCAAATTAACTACGATATTTTGAATAAGCTAAACTCTCTCTATGCGAGCCCATTCATTGACACATAATTAAGTTTACAATTTTCATTTTTAAATCCTAGATAGTAAGCCTTTTGTGATGGAAAAGCATGGTGGACTATTAAGGTGCTTTTTTTAAATCATGCTCCATAGCTAAGTATGCAAGTTTAACGATGACTGTATGCGATGACTGTTCAACTTTCCAATGGAGTCATTGACTGACTGTGTCATACTCTGTTTCCAAGGAAGAAAATGCAGTCTGTTTATCTTTCAAATAACTGGTAAATGGTCCAAGAATTTCTGAGCTTGAGAAGAAGAGCCCACCAGGAGCTTCTGTTGTTATCCTTGTCTCAAAGTAAGTGGCACGGTGGCTTTGTGGCAAGGCAACGACCGGGATGTGGAACAGATCTGAAGTGTTTCTAACTCCTGCTTGCTGTCATCTTTCTATTGTCCTGTCTTTCCAAAATACATGGCCTCATAAATATAAAGATGTCTTTCCAGAAGTGGAGTGGCAAGAGTCTGTGGAGAGAAGCTCAGGTGGAAGGGGCAGAGTTACCATGATGACTTGAAGGGAAGCAGCAGATGCTCAAAAGTTTTCATTAATGGGATCAAGGGACCGAGACAGGTACTGGCTGTAAAGCCTGGGAAAGCAAACTGGAGATCTGTCCTTGCTGTCATAACTCCTCCTCCTCAGGAACTACCTGCTGTAGAATGACGGTGCCAATTTTTCACACCCTTGTGTGGCCACAGCCCTCTAGCCAGGACCTTTCTGGTGTGCTTCTCAAGGAACAGGTCACCTAAACTCCAGATGGAAAACGCTGGCAGCCCCCAAATTCGCTTGACAGGTGGGAGCAGCACCTATATTCCCTACTCTTAGTGTCTATCCTTTACTTCTCTTTTTTTCCCTCTTATTCTTTTCCTATGGTTTCTATTGTGTTGCTCCTTGTGGGGAGACATCCCCACAGTTGCTTCCAAAAGTCTCTTCAGCAATTAGGCTTTCAAACCATGAAAGCAGCTAATTCAAATTCTTCCTCTCTGTGAGCTCAAAGGGCGTGTGTGTGTTTGTGCCTGTGTGAAGGGATCTTGCAGTTCTTTCTCTTACAGGCTGCTAAAATTTCCCCAAAGAATAAAAGCCATTGTCAGTTTTTACACAAGTGAATTTTTTTTCGAGTCAATATTATAATAAAGGATAGATAGAAGTGTTACTTTGGAGGAAACAAAATAGTGTATATGAGCCCTTCTGCTTGCTGTGGAGATGGATGCCTTTCTTCTGCTATTCAAAATTTTCTACAATGGTGGCAAGGTGAGCAGGACACAGACAGTAAGATACAGAGAGATGAGTTTTGGGACTAGAGATAATGAAATCAAGAGAGCAGTACTGCAGACTGGACATCCCTGTTGTCCCATTTTCTCCATCAGCCAGTTGTACTTTCTAGAACTTAAAAATGGAAAAAACCCCACAACAAACCACCTCTATTTCTTTGGCATTTTGATGTGAACAAAGTGCATCAGGGCACCTTTGCCATTGACTTTTCCCCTTAGCACTTCCCAATTTTTAAGCCTTTTCCCCCATGTCATTCCATTACAACTGGAGTCCCCGAAGCCATTCTGCTTCAGCCACTGGCAAAAATTAAATTTTTAAAGGATTTTATCCATTAATGCCCTTTCTCAGGTGGTACTTACCAAATTTTGCACCCCTTGGCAAGAAGCCAATAAAATAATATGAAATAACAGGTAAATATTAGAGGAGAAAGGAGGAGCTTGATGAAAAACTGATAAATTTTTCTGTAGAACAGTGGCTGGATGCTTGGATGGGAACTGTCTAAATTTGGGTCCTAAAATCTTGCTGTCATGAAATGCTGGGAAATTGCAGTTCAAGTGCTTCATGCTGTTCCCTGCACCTGTATTCCAGGTGCCCACCAGGCTTTATCTCCTACGGAGAGCTGCGGGCTCCGCTGGGCTGCGGGGCTGCTCCATGGCAGTTGGGTGGGTTACTTTCTTCTGGGAAATGGAGCCCAACAGTGGAGTTGTGCCCATGATGGTAAATGGAAAGTTGAAATGCGTGAACTGAAATGCCTGTGGTGTAATGAAAATGTGTTCTTTTTCCATCTTTTTTTCATCTTTTCCCCACTTAACTCCCCCTGCCCACCCCGCCCCCTTTTTTTTTTTCTCTGTCTAAAGCCCCATTTTCTCATTGGGGAAGCATTTTATTTTAATGAAAGAATACCAACCACCACATTCAATCATCACTTTCATGCCAGAGCAGCAGAGCAGTCAGTGTCTCAGGACCCTAAACTGCAGAGCGTACTTTCAGTGAAATGTCTAGGGAGGTGATGGGGGCCGGTTTGCCCCTGGGCTTGGGTGTCTTTTGGGACCACCTGTCACATAATCCAGTTGCCAGCCCCAGGCCAAAGAACA